TTCAGTGAATTTTTATTTTTATATTGATGAGGGTATTCAGACACACCTAGAAAAACACATACATGTAATACACAAAATACGCCATCCTGAAACCAAGCGCCTATGTGATGCAGGTGTTCAGATACATGTATAGTACACTATACAAGAACAAATTTAATAAAATTATCATTTACAGAAGACGTTTTATCTTAACTTTGCCATCTTATCTAGGCCTATTTCCAAAAACAGGCAAATAGGGTGTGTTTGTGTGTGAGAGGGAGGGAGGGTGTGTGTGTTGATGGGAGAGGGGTGTGTGTGTGTGGGGGGGGGGGGGGGGTGACTAAATTGATTGGGTATATGGCAGCTTTCGAGGAGTTTCTGCTTAATCACTTTTAAAAAAAAGTTTGCACATTTTGAAAAATTCTTCAAAAACGCTTTACACTTATTAATTTGAAGATGAACATCATTTTTTATTTGTATGTCCTCTTTATAAACAACTAAGAAGTGAATTTTGTACACTTTTTAATAATACATATATAACTTATGAAATTCTTAATCCAGCAGATGTTAATTCTACAAGAAATATTTGTAACTTCATACGTGATGCATGTAATATAAGAAAATCTATGTGACTATATATTCTATATTTGTTTACTGTATACATGTATGACTTGCGCCACATGTGGTTTTTGTCAAATTGAATAAATAAATAAATTTGAATATTATTTGTTGTTGATCTATATGAGAAAATAGATTTAAGAAGTTCCAATTACGGGCCAAAAATTTATACCCCCCCCCTTATCAAACTTAATTTACATCATTAATTAAATTCTGTTGTTTAATTTCAGACTGGCAATGAATTAAGAATATGAAATATCTATAAGAGGCTCATGGTCACCTGAGCATATTTTGCTATTCATACTTTATATTTGCCTGATTGTGACTTTGATGAATAAACATGTATGTAATCCACTTAACGCGCGTCGACCCTTTATATAAATTTCGTAAATCATTGAATTATATTGATTTTTTCCCTTATAAAGGTAAAATGTAAATATTGAATTATTTGAAGGAAAGCCCAATTTTAAGGATTGCATTTAGAGGCAAACTTGTGTAAAATATTTCGTATTTGTGTATTTTTCGTTATGTTGGTCTTAAAATCTTTCAAACTATGTGCATTTTTTTTACCTATACGTGCATTTTTATTTTACTCGGTGCATATTTTTCATCTAGCTCGGGAATAAAATCTTGATCGTTGTGCAGAAAATACTTTTGAACCAATCGGCGTACCATACCCCCTCCCTGGAAAAAAAAATCCTGAATCTGCGCCTGAATTGGTTGCTATGGACACAATATATGCCCCCACCCCATTATCTTTATAGATACGACAGGAATGCATTAAGGAAAAAACGATGCAAATGAGGCAATATCGAAATACTTTTTCTCCCTTAGAATAAAAACCACAAAGTTTACAATATTGTAATTATGAATATTCCCCCTCCAAAGGTTTTTTTAATGTGATTTTTATTTTTAATGTAAGTAAGACTGTTTTGTCATTACTTTTAGGATGTTTTTGTCATCAGCATGCTTATTAGCTTGTTGCAGATTTTATATAAAAAGGTATAATATAAACTTTATTTCATATGCATCACTTTACACTTGGGAGATAATATTTGCAATTTTTCATTTTTGTAAAACGTTTAGAATATTTGTGTTGCCATGGTAACATATGACTTAGTCTAGCTATTTAGATTTGCTTTTAAATTAATCCTTTTAGAACTTCATTTTTTTTATCATTATTAAATAGCCCATAATTAGTCAGAATACTCCTTAGTTGCTGTTCTTTAAAATTATTTTAAAAACTGAAGCTTTTTGTCTTCTAACCTTTCTGTGGTTTCCATGGTGATGCATGACAAGGGGTAAAAAAAAAAGCTTTGCTGGTCAAATCTCAATTTTATATAATCATGTTGCTTTTGTACTACACATATGAATTTTGTTTACAGCCAGGAAAAGAAAATAGTAGGTTTAATTTAAACTTTTCATTATTCAATTGTGACATTCAAATTTCACAAACATGATAAAAAATAAACAAGTTGGTAAAAACAATTTATATCCTGTTCTAGGACAAGTTATTTCTTAATTTTATTGAAGAAATTATATTTTTAGGTCACCTGAGTAAACTCAGGTGACCTATTGCTATCCGTTTTCGTCCGTCGTCGTGCGTTGTGCGTTAACATTTGAACATTTTCAGCATCTTCTCTGCAACCAATGAACCAATTTCAACCAAATTTGGCACAAAGCATCTATGGGTGAAGGGGAACAACAATTGTGAATTTCATGACCCCTGCCCCCCTGGGGCCTTGGGGGTGGGGCCAAAACCACTAAAATTAATGCAATCTTAAAAAATCTTCTTCTTTACTCCTGGATATCAAGCATTCAAACTGTTTGCATGATTGTAATAAGCAATGAGCCCTCTACCAAAATTGTGAAATTCATGGCCCTGGGGTCAGGGGTTCTAGTGCTAGGGTGGGGCTAAATAATTAGGTAGTGAAAATGCATTATTTCTTTGAAAATCTTCTTCTCTGCTCCTGGGTATTAAAAAAAACAAACTAAGTACATAGTTATGATGAGCAAGAGTGCCTCTACCAAAATTGTGAATTTTATGGCCCAGGGTCAGGGGTTCTGGTGTTAGGGCGGGGCTATATAGATTATTTAGTGAAAATGCATTATTTCTTTGAAAATCTTCTTCTCTCTCCTGGGTATTAAATAAACAAACTAAGTACATAGTTATGATGAGCAAGAGTGCCTCTACCAAAATTGTGAATTTTATGGCCCCAGGGTCAGGGGTTCTGGTGTTAGGGCGGGGCTCTATTGATTATATAGTGAATATACATGAATTCTTTGAAAATCTTCTTCTCTGCTCCTGGGTATTAAATAAACTAACGAAGTACATAGTTATGATGAGCAGGAGTGCCTCTATCAAAATTGTGAATTTTATAGCCCAAGGGTCAGGGGTTCTGGTGTTAGGGCGGGGCTCTATTGATTATATAGTGAAAATACATGAATTCTTTGAAAATCTTCTTCTCTGCTCCTGGGTATTAAATAAACTAACTAAGTGCATAGTTATGTTGAGCAAGAGTGCCTCTACCAAAATTGTGAATTTTATGGCCCCAGGGTCAGGGGTTCTGGTGTTAGGGCGGGGCTCTATTGATTATATAGTGAAAATACATGAATTCTTTGAAAATCTTCTGAAAATCTCTTTATTTGAGCAAGAGTACTCTACCAAAATTGCTCCTAGGAATTAAATTAACTAAGTACATAGTTATGATGAGCAGGAATGCCTCTTCCAAAATTGTATAATTTATAGCCCCAGGGTCAGGGGTTCTGGTGTCAGGGCGGGGCTCTATTGATTATATAGTGAAAAATACATTAAGTCTTTGAAAATTTTCTTCTCTGCTCCAGGGTATTAAGCAGATGAAATACCTTTATAGTTATGATGGACAAGGGCCCTAATCTTCCAGAATTGTGAATTCCAAGGCCCCAGGGTCAGGGGTACCATAGAAGGGGGGGGGGCTCTACTTATATACTGAAAATGAATGAATGGTTTGAAATCTGCTCCTTGGTATAAATCAAATATCAAGGCCTAAGGGTCAGGGGTTCATGTGTGGTAGGGGCACTACTGATTATTGCTGAATATTACTGATTAGTTGATATGCACTTTTTGCTCCCCTACCCTAGGTGTGGGCATTAAGTAAACAAACTAAGCAACTGCTAAGTGTATTGTTATGATGATCAATGGTGCCTCTTTCAAAATTGTGAAGGCCATAGCATCTGGCTTAAAACATGAATCAAATTCAATCACTGGAAAGTTGTTACATAATGCTCAGGTGACCTATAAGGCCTATGGGCCTCTTGTTTATAAAACTTATTGGCAAGTCAATTTTACACGTTTGATTCCCTTATTTTATTGAATTTCTTAATGAAAAATAATTTATTTTGAAATTTTTTTAATCGGTTGAAGATAACATTTTTTTACCGAATAACTTTCGACTCCAAAAGTTTTCTGAGAAAATAACCTTGCTTGATGACTGAGACCTATATAAAAGCCTCAAAAGGGAGGGGCTTGCTTTGTTTTTCTTTCTTTCTTTTGTTTCATTTTCATATTTTTTTCTACCGCTGTATCTAAATTTAACCTGGAATTTCTCAGGTGATCTCGAAACCTAACTTTAGTAGAAATGCACTGCTCAAAATGACAATTCAACTTTCTATTTTTTTTTATTCGGGAAAACACCTCCTTTTTTCATTTTCATAAAGTTTATCACGCTTCGAAGACTTTAAATTAAACAGAAAACAGAATGTACTTTGTAATTCATTAAGACTTACATACATGTATATGTTTTTTTTTATGTAAGCAAAAAGTCACACATTTGCATAGTATTTAAATAGATCTATACACTTATTTTTAATATACAAAAATTGATAAAAAAAAATTCAATTACCCAGATATTTAAGGTCTGTTCTCATTTTATAGTCTTGAGACTTTTATTTCCAACCAAACTACATTGGTATAGTTCTCCTCTGAATTTTAACAGAGCATGACATATAGATGCATGTACTGTTAATTAACATTTGCTGTTTTGAACTAAGTGGTACCAAGAAAGAATGTTTGAGAGTATTTTGTATTTTTGACATCTAAATCACTGTCATAGGAGAAACCCAATTGTTCCAAATACCAAAGATCAGTATTTCTCTAATATTGTGATGTCACCATTTGCCGGTGGAGGACTATAAATTTAGACCTATACTGCATGGGGACTCAGGACCTCACCGGAAACACTGGCCCCAATGTCCTATGGTGGGAATATTCCGGATTCAAACCTGCGACGTAAGGATCAACTCATTGTTTGGACATAACTCTACAGCAAATGCCCCGACCACTGTACAACACAGTTTTATATGTACCTAAACCATTTCATATAACAAGAAAATTGTCCTTTAAAAAAAAAAAACATGAGAACTAAGAAATTTATACACCTTTATTTACATTAAAAAACCACAAAACAAGAGATGGACAAATACATGTATATGTAAAGGTATTATGGAAATAAATTAACTAAACATACATCAAAACTCTGGCATACCAGGGTACCTGAAAACAAAGCTTAATGTGGATGTACCCCATGAGTAAGACTGGGTATTAACTCTACTCACATTAGACTAAACCACAACACAAACATACAATGCCTAACAGCCAGTCGTGATTGCTGGACGCCCGTAATTTATTTTATTAGTTTTACATGCATGTACATGTACATGTATAACATACAAATATATTTCGTAATGCAGAAAAAACATGACACAATCTGTCCTTTTCTTTCCATGACAGGAAATGTTTAAAATTCTTAATACCCCCTTTACATAGCATCAGGGCCGGCCAGGAAAAAACTAGAGATAGAACGATTTAAATCGATATTAAAAAAGCTCTAGAAAACCTGTGTCCGTTGCCAGGTGCCGCTGGATGCAGGAGGAGTTGTGAACGGACCTCGCAACTTTATTACCATATAAATATTAATATAATTATTTGAATTGCATCAAAAGCAAGTACTGAAAAAACAGTGTAGATTATGACACAAAATATAGGTCAGACATTTTAATGTTCAAAACTTTAATGAGGTAAAGAGGGAGGTTTTTAAAATTCTTGATATATCGTAGGTTAAAATGTAATTCCTCTAAAAAAATAAAGGGAAATTACTAATCATTACCGTTTTCCTTAAACACCCTTACCATTTAAAAAATACAACTTAAATAACTTAATGACAGAGACAGAAAGCTACAATAATTAAGGTATAAAGGGAGGTTGTAATAGATAGAATATCTACCATAAAAATACCATACAATGGATAATTTCTGTGGTTATTATGACTTAACTATTTCAGCTTTTGATACTGAAACTGAGCACGGAATATTCCATCTCTCTGATCATTACATTATGCTAGTAACAGGTGTGACCGGATCGTTATGGGATGCTTAGTCCTCCAAGGCACCTGATCCCACAGCTGTGATTTCCTGTGATCCTTGTTTTATGCCTTATTTACAGATTTGAATTGATTACAGTTTTTGTTTTGGATCATTCACTGTTCGTCATCTTCAAAACATTCATTGACTCAATTTCTCATAGAATTTTCTGCTTTTAAAAGCAACTGCTTTAGAGTATTACCGTTGAAATGAATTAAAAAGGGAAAAATGCAAACAACAGGAGCCACAGAAATTACCCGTTATATGGAAAATAACTACCCTTATAAAAAGATAACGTGCTCATTTAAGAAAAAATCTGAGCAAGTGTGACTTCATCTGTTTCTCTCGAGCCAGACATTTTAATGGTCATAGCTATAATGAGGTACATATTAGGGAGGTTTTTAAAATCCATGAGATGACTTTAGTTAAATATAATTCCTCTGAAAAAAAATGAGGAAAATTACTAATCACTACTGCTTTTTAAACATCATTACAATAACAAAAATAAAACTACTTAGATAACTTTATGACAAAGACAGAAAGTTATAATGAGTTATAGAGGCAGCCTGTGATAGTCATTGAGATATCTCTGATTATGAAATAATGAGAAAGAAAGAGATATTTCTTTCTATTAAATCTTTTAAACGAAACGTCTGTGCCATAAGGAAATAAATTAAAACTAAATTATATGAGAAAAAATAAAACTACCTTAAAATTAAAAAAAAAACAACAACTCCTAAATAAAAAAACAAAAAGAAAAGAGAAATAAGATTTATGTAAAAAAAAATAAGAGAAAGAAAGAAGAGATAGAATATAAATAATTGTCATTTGAATTAATAAGAAATATTTTTTAAAAAAAATTACCTTAAAAAAGGGGGATAGTCAGAAGAAAAAAGACCTTGTTTCTTTAAGCTTTAAAAAAAAATAAAAAGAGAAAGGAAGAAGAATGACAGAATATCTACCATAAAAATACCATACAATGGATAATTTCTGTGGTTATTATGACTGAACTATTTCAGCTTTGTTTGATAATGAAACTGAGCACGGAATATTCCATCTCTCTGATCATTACATTATGCTAGTAACAGGTGTGACCGGATCGTTATGGGATGCTTAGTCCTCCAAGGCACCTGATCCCACAGCTGTGATTTCCTGTGATCCTTGTTTTATGCCTTATTTACATATTTGCATTAATTACAATTTTTGTTCTGGATCATTCACTGTTCGTCATCTTCAAAACATTCATTGACTCAATTTCTCATAGAATTTTCTGCTTTAAAAAGCAACAGTATTACCATTGAAATGAATTAAAAAGGGCAAAAATGCAAACGACATGAGCCACAGAAATTACCCGTTATATGGAAAATAACTACCCTTATAAAAAGATAATGTGCTCATTTAAGAAAAAATCTGAGCAAGTGTGACTTCATCTGTTTCTCTCGAGCCAGACATTTTAATGTTCATAGCTATAATGAGGTACATAGGGAGGTTTTTAAAATCCATGAGATGTCTTCAGTTAAATATAATTCCTCTGAAAAAATGAGGAAAATTACTAATCACTACTGCTTATTAAACAAAAATACAACAACTTAGATAACTATGAGAGAAAGATACTATCTTAAAATTAACTGACAAAGACACTGAAAGTTACAATGAGTTATAGAGGGAAGATTATGAAATAATGAATATATTTCTTAATTAAAACTAAATTATATGAGAGAAAAATAAAACTACCTTAAAATTAAAAAAAACAACTCCTAATTGAAAAAAAAGAAAGAAAAGAGAAATAAGAACGTTTATGTAAAAAAAAATATATAAGAGAAAGAAAGAAGAGATAGAATATAAATAATTGTCATTTGAATTAATAAGAAATATTTAAAAAAAAATTACCTTAAAAAAGGGGGATAGTCAGAAGAAAAAAGACCTTGTTTCTTTAAGCTTTAAAAAAAAATAAAAAGAGAAAGGAAGAAGAAAGACAGAATATCTACCATAAAAATACCATACAATGGATAATTTCTGTGGTTATTATGACTGAACTATTTCAGCTTTGTTTGATACTGAAACTGAGCACGGAATATTCCATCTCTCTGATCATTACATTATGCTAGTAACAGGTGTGACCGGATCGTTATGGAATGCTTAGTCCTCCAAGGCACCTGATCCCACAGCTGTGATTTCCTGTGATCCTTGTTTTATGCCTTATTTACAGATTTGAATTGATTACAGTTTTTGTTTTGGATCATTCACTGTTCGTCATCTTCAAAACATTCATTGACTCAATTTCTCATAGAATTTTCTGCTTTTAAAAGCAACTGCTTTAGAGTATTACCTTTGAAATGAATTAAAAAGGGAAAAATGCAAACAACATGAGCCACAGAAATTACCCGTTATATGGAAAATAACTACCCTTATAAAAAGATAACGTGCTCATTTAAGAAAAAATCTGAGCAAGTGTGACTTCATCTGTTTCTCTCGAGCCAGACATTTTAATATTCATAGCTATAATGAGGTACATATTACGGAGGTTTTTAAAATCCATGAGATGACTTTAGTTACATATAATTCCTCTGAAAAAAAATGAGGAAAATTACTTATCACTACTGCTTTTTAAACATCATTACAATAACAAAAATAAAACTACTTAGATAACTTTATGACAAAGACAGAAAGTTACAATGAGTTATAGAGGGAGCCTATGATAGTCATTGAGATATCTCTGATTATGAAATAATGAGAAAGAAAGAGATATTTCTTTCTATTAAAGCTTTTAAACGAAGCGTCCTTGCCATAAGAAAATAAATTAAAACTAAATTATATGAGAGAAAAATAAAACTACCTTAAAATTAAAAAAAAACAACTCCTAAATAAAAAAAAACAGAAAGAAAAGAGAAATAAGAAGATTTATGTAAAAAAAAAAATGAGAGAAAGAAAGAAGAGATAGTGTATAAATAATTGTCATTTGAATTAATAAGAAATATTAAAAAAAAATTACCTTAAAAAAAAAAGGGAGGATAGTTAGAAGAAAAAAGACCTTGCTTCTTTAAGCTTTAGAAAAAAAAAAATAAAAAGAGAAAGGAAGAAGAAAGACAGAATATCTACCATAAAAATACCATACAATGGATAATTTCTGTGGTTATTATGACTGAACTATTTCAGCTTTGTTTGATACTGAAACTGAGCACGGAATATTCCATCTCTCTGATCATTACATTATGCTAGTAACAGGTGTGACCGGATCGTTATGGAATGCTTAGTCCTCCAAGGCACCTGATCCCACAGCTGTGATTTCCTGTGATCCTTGTTTTATGCCTTATTTACAGATTTGAATTGATTACAGTTTTTGTTTTGGATCATTCACTGTTCGTCATCTTCAAAACATTCATTGACTCAATTTCTCATAGATTTTTTGATTTAAAAAGCAACAGTATTACCATTTGAAATGAATTAAAAAGGGGAAAAATGCAAACGACATGAGCCACAGAAATTACCCGTTATATAGGAAATATCTACCCTTATAAAAAGATAACTTGCTCATTTAAGAAAAAATCTGAGCAAGTGTGACTTCATCTGTTTCTCTCGAGCCAGACATTTTAATGGTCATAGCTACTAGTATAATGAGGTACACAGGGAGGTTTTTAAAATCCATGAGATGTCTTCAGTTAAATATAATTCCTCTGAAAAAAAATGAGGAAAATTACTAATCACTACTGCTTTTTAAACATCATTACCATTACAAAAAATACAACTTAGATAACTTTATGACAAAGAAAGTTACAATGAGTTATAGAGGGAGCCTGTGATAGCCGTTGAGATATCTCTGATTATGAAATAATGAGAAAGAGATATTTCTTCTGATTAAAGCTTCTAAACGAAGCGTCCTAGCCATAAGAAAATAAATTAAAACTAAATTATATGAGAGAAAGATAAAACTATCTTAAAATTAAAAAAAAACCCACTCCTAATTTAAAAAAAATGAAAGAAAGAAAAGAGAAATAAGAACGTTTATGTAAAAAAAAATATATAAGAGAAAGAAAGAAGAGATAGTATATAAATAATTGTCATTTGAATTAATAAGAAATATTAAAAAAAAATACCTTAAAAAAAGGGGGGATATCAGAAGAAAAAAGACCTTGCTTCTTTAAGCTTTAGAAAAAAAAAAGAGAAAGGAAGAAGAAAGACAGAATATCTACCATAAAAATACCATACAATGGATAATTTCTGTGGTTATTATGACTGAACTATTTCAGCTTTGTTTGATACTGAAACTGAGCACGGAATATTCCATCTCTCTGATCATTACATTATGCTAGTAACAGGTGTGACCGGATCGTTATGGAATGCTTAGTCCTCCAAGGCACCTGATCCTACAGCTGTGATTTTCTGTGATCCTTGTTTTATGCCTTATTTACAGATTTGAATTGAGTACTATTTTTGTTTTTGATCATTCACTGTTCGTCATCTTCAAAGCTTTCTTTGACTCAATTTTTCATAGAATTTTCTGTTTGAAAAAAAAAATAGTTTTGCCATTTAAATGAACGAAAAGCAGGAAACACCGCAAGCAATATAAGCCACAGAAATTACCCTTTCTATTTACTTTTTAAAAAATAAAACTTGTCATTAAAATTTTTCTTGTGGAGGTGACATTTTCTTGACAGGCTCCTTCATCTTCATGCAGGCACTACACTACCTCTCTCATCTTAAAACTTACATATATGGGCAAAATACCATCCTATTTAAACACTTCTATAGGCCTAGTAAATTTCAGGCCAGTACTTAAAATCTCCCTCATTTAAAATTTCATTGTAAATACAGGTAAACACAAAAAACCTCACACATTTTAAAATTAAATATTCAGGCAAGAACTAACTACCTCCCTTAAAACTCTAATATTCAGAAGAGTGCTAAATACCTCCCTCATTTTGAAATTAAACAATTCAGGCAAGTAATAAATACTTCTGTTTTTTTAAATAAATATTTAGCAATAAATACCTCCCTCATATAAAATTCCCATAGTAAATGTCAGGCAAGCACTCAATACCTCCCTCGTCTTAAAACTTAAAAAAATATTCAGGCAAGTTCTATGTACCTCCCTGGTTTAAAACTTCTATAGCTAATACAGGAAAATACTAACAACCTCCCTCCTTTATAAATTAAATATTCAGGCAAGAATTATCCACCTCAATTTAAAACTTGAATATTCGGGCAAGCACGTTAAATCTAAATATTCAGGCAAGAAACTAAATACATGTATTTCCCTCATTTTTTAAAGTTAAATATTCAGACAAAATTAAGCACTAAATACCTCCCTCACTTTTTTTTAAATATTCAAACAAGCAGTGAATACCTCAGTCAAATTTAAATCTAAATATTCAGACAAGCTCTAAATAACTTCCTATTTTTAAACTTAAATACATGTACCTCCCTATTTTTAAACTTAAATATTCAGACAAGTACTAAATATCTCCCTTACTTTTAAATTCAAATATTCAGGTAAGCACTAAAAACCTCCCTTGTTATTAAATCTATTAATTCATGATCAAGCACGGATTTAAAAAAAAAACTCCTGTTTTTAGCTTTAAAATTCAGACAAGTGCTGATTCAAATACATATACAAAGAAAAGAAAACCTCCCACAGTTACCTAGATTTCTTATGTATAGAAACAATCTAAGGTAATAATAAGCTAAAATTAGTTTCTTTTCAGCATTCAGGAAATCACTAGTAAAAATAAGTCCACCGTTTTTAGCTTAAATAATATATCGGAAAAAAACTTTTTACATGTATAAAAAAAAATGTTCAAAACAAAGACATACAAATAAATTTTGAATCAATCTTAAGAATACAATAAACTTCGAAAAGGAAATTTAAGTAAAAGGAAAAAAGTATAATTAATAAACCTTGATACTCCTAGATAAAAAAAATAATTAAATGCTCTCTGAATGATTCTGTCTCATTCAGATAAAAAAGCCTAAGTAATCTTAAACAATTATCTAGCAAAATGAATTCTTCTATTATCCTAGATATATCATGGAAAATGTCATGGTTATACACTACAATAATACATCAAATTCCCACAACCATCCAAAAATTATAAAGGTTCCTTCACATAGTATTCCTGGTGGTTTGTCCTGCTTCAGGCCATATGAGAAATCTTGGAAAAACATTGGTAACAATAAAATATCCCGAGTCCATCTCTAGGTCACATGGAAACTTTTGGAAAAACACAAGTAGTGAAATTATCTCCCATAACTGACACTGCTCCAAGGTCCATCAGAATTCTTTGAAACACATCCATAGGGAAAATATCTCTGGACTCTATCCCCATAGCTCACGTTTGAGTAATACTTCTCTGGACTCTCTCCCTGTAGCTCACGTTTGAGTAATACTTCTCTGGACTCTCTCCCCGTAGCTCACGTTTGAGTAATACTAGGCAAGGCTCCAGTTATCCAACACTATAGAAATACAATGAATCCCATAATTTCATTTACTATGAGACTTTGTGTATATTTAAAGTACAAGGTTTCAGGGTATATATAATGATAATGATAAAAACACCCCCATTTTACCTATTTTACCTACAAAATTCAAATATTTTTTTTTACTAGAAATTGTATTTCAAATACAAAGTAAATAAATTAGCTAATGTTAATGATAGACCGAGACAGAAACAACACTTTTTGCCAAAATAAGGATCATTAATAAACGTATTACCTGGTAGTCTGGTAGTTTGAGATCAAACATGATGAATGTTGGCTTTATGTATATTTTTCTGTTTGTGAATGGCACCAAATACTGGCTCACAGTAATTGTTGACTCAGTGACAGACCACTTTCACCTATAGACTGAAATGATAAAAAGAACCTTGAGAAAAACTTAAGAATCATTTAAATGTTTCTTAAAATATTTCAAATATGATCTACAGTATATCAAAGGTCAATTTGAAATTCAAAGTTTTAATATGAATCTTCCATATAAGCAGATTCCAGGTTTACAAGGATCAGGAATTTTGCCAGATTCCCAAGGGAGTGTCCTACAAGATTGCATTTATATGTCTCAAACAAAGAAATAATTTCACTATATATCACTACATAGCTTGATTTAATTTTATTAACTCTTTTTCTTACCTGTCTGATGAACACAACAAAGGCTACAAAGGTGACTGGTAGAATACAGGTATACAGGTGTCAAAACTCTCCATTGATGACCAGACTGCATGCCGCATTGTATGTTGTGAATTATTGATCTTTAACAGGGGAAACTTAACTCCTGAAATCAGAGAAATTGTAGTCAAAATAAGAGATATCTGCTCCTCTTTAGTTCTCACACAAGGAAGTAATTAAGGTCTTCCGTTCGTATCCAAAACACAACTTGACCTAGATATTCATGTGATATATCTGTATACCATATTTCATTTCAGTATGTGCAACGGTTGCGAAGAAAATGAACAGAAACTAAGTGTACCGACAGACCGATCGACAGCAGCAAAGCAATATGCCCTCCCTTCTTCATAGGGGGGCATAATAAATGCCTCATGTGGCTTTTAAGAAAGAAAATTGACAGTATAAACATACCAACCCTGAAATACACATGGGTTTCACATGTTGATAAACAGCCTACACACCATCTAGGAAGTTGTATCACGCACACCTGAAAAAAAGAGTTTCCTTTAATTCAGTGGCATAATTCTGCTACATTTATGATATTCCTAGTACACAAGTCCAAATTTAATACAGAAAGCCTAAAAATTTTGCCAAAAACTGAAAAATAAATTGTTAAATTTTTCCATTGAAATTGAGCTTTAAAGCATCATAATATTTAAGAAATAAAGTCTGCGTTTTCGTGAATGTAGCAGAATAACCTCCGAGGTCGAGAAATGTTGTTTGAAAGATAAAAGCCGAGGCATTTTGAGACCAATGAGGTTATTCTGCATCATTCACAAAAACAAGGACTTTATTTCTATTCTGCTACGTGTAGTTAGCAGCCCTAAAATATGACTGATCAAAATCAGGGGGGTCATAGTAATCGATATGTCCACCCATCTGTCTGTTACGCTTTGGGGTACCCGTCTCTTATCAACATATCCTATTATACCATTGAATGAAATTCAATAAAACTTTCACAGAATCTTAATAACAAAATGACATTGTGACCTCTTATTTTACTTTTTGATCCGACACGTTTTGGGTTTCTAACGGCAAAACATAAAAGAGAGGTGTCCCCAAAGCATAACAGACGGACGGACACTCCGATCACTATATACCCTATATGTTTTGATTGAGGACAAACACAGGTTATTATCTGCAGATTTGAATTAAAGTAAAGTGTGATAATTAAATGACAAGTACTACTCGTAATTACTAAAATGGCCATGTACTGTATGTACATGCATATCAACCTATCGTAGTATATTCTCAAATTTCCAAATAAAACATCGAGATTATTGAAAATCTATTCACAGTTTCTTGAATTCACAGATTTATTAACACCGTAAATATAGCGAATATTAACACCGCGAGTTATTTTCCCCCTACATAGTAGTCTCTTTACATATATAATTACAACTGACAAAGTTAATTTTGATTGGCTGTTTCCTTGCATAAGACCTTTATAGCTATAAGAAGGGTGTCAGTACAGATCACATTATGCCTGAATCAACACCAGTCCTTTATCTTATGCACTGTCAAACACTATGGTAAATATCTATTAACTTTTCCCTTAAAAATGTAGTACCTTTGGCACTGATCATCAGACAGATGTATTTGGACATGATTGGTTTAAATGGCTTCTGTCCTCCGGAATGTAGTACTTTCTGGACATCACCTGGACTTGGGGTCCCTCCAGGATCTAAAATATATTCTTCTTTCTTATAATTCATGAAATGATGGATCACTGCATATGCAGAAGTTTTAGCAGGGACCTATCTCAATATATATAGCAATATTTAAGATTGAAGTTTTGGTATTACTTATGAAGTTGAGATAGCTAAATTTGAACATAACTAACAATACATTCGACTTACAAGTTACCTAACTATTGTGCATCTAGGCATCATTAAATTGATAAAATTTAAATCTTATTTCTAATATTAATCATAATATCTTAATAGACTGCCTTTAACTTTACAGAAAAGGTCAATTTGCAAGATCAATTTAATTGCATAAAACTTCATGTTCTATAGTATTCAGAACTTCCTTATAATTAGAAGTTTTACAGACACATACCGGCAAAAACTTGGTATGGCTTTATCTTCTTCGACAGGGGATGCTCACTCCTCCATGACACCTGATCCCATCTCTGGTGTTTTGGAGGTCCATGTTGGCTTGATCTGCCCTTGATTTGTATTGTTTATCTGGATCAACTTTTGAGCTTTTTTGAGCTTGAATACTGTTCTTTATCTCCATGTCTAATATATTCCATTTTCTTTTCTTCCACAGTAACGGCATTATGTCTTAGATAAATAATAATTTGAACATAATATAACCTGACCCATCCAAGATTCATTTCAACTTTGATAGTTGTCTTTGTTTAAACAGAGGCCGACATTTACAGTATTCTTTCAAGGGCACCTATACATGTAATAATTTTCTCCACTCAGTGGTAATATTAATTTTTAGTAAACTCATATAATGCACAGAAAATGCTTATTCAGAGTACAAATTATTATGCTATATTCCAGCCAGGTCAAATATACATTCCAATAATCTTAGATCATGTATGCATAAAAATAATGTATGCAATATGAATTAAATTTAGTATGTGATCAGATATCATATACATGTATATCATAATAAACAGTTTAATTAATTATAACCCTAATGCTAATTCTTAATTTTGTCACAATGGTATATGACGTACAAGAACACATTTACATATATACAAACTACAAAGTCAAGTCAGGAAGAGTTACAAGTGTCAAATAAGAAAATAGTTACTGAAAGCTGAGCTAGGCCAATATCTTCTTAGCAAACAAAGACAGCTCTATCAGCGAGTCAACATTTAATTGTGATGGACATAATTTTTCTTAAACTTTATTATATTAGTATTAACATGAGAACAATACTTCTTATCAATATTAAAGTTTCCAACATGATGAAAATATGGACATTCCATTATTTACATAATGAAATTCATCCCTAAAGCATTTTTATTACATATTAATCAAATTACATATTCTTAAAGATCTACCAGTGTCGATTGGAAGTTTGAGGTTACAAGTTTAAAATTTAAATTAATTGTTAATACAATTCTTAAATATTTTTATCTATGCTCATAATTATGCCAGTCTTGTAAAAAATTGATCTAATAGTATTTCTTTCAACATGATAATAGATTTTATCCATGTAATACTGAATGAAATTTTGATTCATCCACACATAAGACAGACCGCACAAATTCAAGATATCTCTTAATAAAAAATTTAGCCCAATAAGTAATCATTCGTAACTTTATGCGTATCAAACTTTAGGATATCGCGCAGTTTCCCCATACACCAAATTTTTTGGAGTACTTCACTTAACAATTGTAATACAAATTTCTCAAGTCTTAAGTGTACCTTTTATAAGATATCAATGTTTTTGTAGCTAACAATAAATTAATCCATGAAAATAGTTAAGTTCTTGATGAAAAAAAAACATTATGTAGTTACTGTCTTGAACCTGAATAGCAAAACAACCTATAAAAATCAAATCCAATTTAATGAGAAAATCGATCATTATTACTGCTTTTAATCTAGAAAAAAATACAAGTTTCACGAAGTGGATTATAAAAAAGCGTAAATTGACGCAAACCAGGTTATAATAATAATTTGGCCCAGAATTAGAGTCATTCCTTATAATTTAAATTATAATTAAACAACTGTGGGTGTAAATATTGTGGTGCTTTTTATGAGTTCAAATTTGCCGCTGAATAAAAATCCCTAGTTATGGAAGTGATTTGAAACAAGGGGACATAATAACTGATACACAGATCCAGCAGCCATGATGTTTGTTTACATGAGGTAAGATCGGGCTAATGTTTGAAGTTAAAGGTACATTAAATCTGGAATTTTTTATGAATCCCATGGACTGGAAATGAGAGGATTGCATTGATACAAATGATTCAGCTGGTTGTGAAGGGGGTGTGTCCCCATACCAAACCAGGTTATTGAGAAATAGTTTGCGTTCCTTTTTGGAAATCAACCAATGAGAGACTAGGATATAAACAAAATTAAATTATTGAAAAATACATTAATTGCTGTCTTAAACCTTAAAACAAAACACCAAGAATTACATGTAATTCCAATTTCTAGGTGAAAAAACATTAATTATTTGTCTTGAACCTTATTACAAAAACACATGTCAATGCAAATTAGTTCCAAAACTTCTATTAGAAAATACATTGATTAATTGTCTTTAACCTGAAAACAAATCTAAGAAAATTAGTTCCAATTCCGAAGAGAAAATACATTAGTGACTGTCTTGAACTTGAAATATAAAACACAAAATTTAAGTTCCAAATTCAATGAAAAATAAATTATAATTTCTGTCTTGAACCTGTAAGACAAAACACACAATCTTTGAAAAAAAAAATTCCAATATTGAAAGTAAATTAATTATCTGTATTCAACATGAAAAAAAAAATCACAATCTTTGAAAAACAAGTTCCAATTTCTAATATCAAAACATTAATTAATGTCTTGAACCTGAAAAACAAAACACACAATTTATGCAAATTAGTTCCATTTTCTAAAAGAAAATACATATTAATCTGTCCTGAAACTAAAAAACAGAAACAAAATCTTAGAAAATTTATTATTATTAATTCTTCCTGCTATGAGAAAATATATTAATCAGTTGTCTTTAACCTGAAAAACAAAGCAAAAAAATCTATAAAAGTTAGTTTCCTAGAGGAAATACATTAATTACTGATTTGAATCTGGAAAACAAAGCACAAAATCTATGAAAACTTAAAGCTCCAATATCTAAGGATTCAATACCCTGATACATTAGTAGCTGTCGGAAGAACCATGAAAAACAAAAAAATAAAATCTCTGAAAAATATAGTTCCAAATTCAATGAGGAAATACATTAATTTCTGTATGGCACCTGATAAACCAAAAAAAAAAATCATGCAAATTAGTTCCATGCAATACCTATGAAAAAATACAAAAACTGCTGTCTTGAACCTGAAAAAACAAAACAAACAACAATAATCAGTCTTGAACCTGAAATACAAAACAAACTACAATAATTAGTCTTGAACCTGAAAAACAAAACAAACTGCAATAATTAGTCTTGAACCTGAAAAACAAAACAAACTGCAATAATTAGTCTTGAACCTGAAAAACAAAACAAACTGCAATAATTAGTCTTGAACCTGAAAAACAAAACAAACTGCAATAATTAGTCATGAACCTGAAAAACAAAACAATGAACCTGAAAAACAAAACAAACTACAAAAATTAGTCATGAACCTGAAAAACAAAACCAACTACAAAACTAATCTTGAACATGTTGAACCTGAAAAAACAAAAAAAAAAACAATTAATACTATTTTTTTGTATTTTTAATTTTTTTTTTTTTTTTTTTTTTTTTTTTTTTTTTTTTTTTAAATTTTTTTTTTTTTTTTTTTTTTTTAAAGAAACATGCAAGTATTCATAACTATATAAACAACTAACTTAGAAAATGCACAGACAGACAGGTGGGATGAGACTGATGGGGTGTCCACAAAAAAGGGGGAGGGGAAATCATAACTCATGCAACAAGCTCTATATGCTATAAAGCACCTGCTTCCTTATTCTATACAGGATAAATGAAACGATATGCCGCAAGAATGGAATGATGGGGAAAAAAGATGTGCAATATACAATACGAAAGGATGTATGCTTCTGCATTGCCGGAAAAGATGGAATACACATGCGATAAGACATATAAATAAATAAAAAAATCCACAAAATACAAGATACGCACACGATCCAACAGGATACACATGATAAGATACCAATAGCTTAAATACATCATATGATAGGATACACGCAATATGTTACGGCTTGCAAATAAAGAAGCAGGTGCTGTTTATGTATAAATTGCCTCGATCTGTATGATATATGCTCCTCAAAGCATTATGTATAAACTCTGTCCAATCGATATGTAATCATTCTAAATAATCATGGCAGTAGCTAATATCTCAAGTGCATATCATATGCATCAAAAGAAGCTTAATGCATCTTTTTCTTCATAGAACATATAAAGACACTGGGTTTCTCATCAGAAACTATGAACAGAAACCAGCAGACAGAATCTGAGTCAATGTAGCTCAGATGACATCAGCAGTAGCACCTGACTGATCAAGTACATGTGTACTCAAGATACTAAAGAAAACCTGTTTGCATAAACAGGCACAGAAACATATGCACTCTCAGAATTTTTCAAAAGACATGAATGACACATCAATGGTTTTACCATCATTGCAAGTTTGGAAATGAACCCTGGTGAAAAATATCAACAGCTAGTTCAATGGGAGTCATTCATCATTAAAAACCATACAAAAAAACAAAGGGCTTGATTACCAACTATAAGCAGGATCAGAGGAGGGGAAAGGAATTTACTTAAAACACTGGGAATAAAAATTATGAAATGAAACCCAGATACTAATATCCCATTATTGCAATGCCTATAATGGTGGTGTGTGCATGAGTGAAATTCATTCAGACATTGCCTTCATGAGATTACACCTAACCTTAACTTAATTGTTAAATCAGTGATAGGCTATGGCTGGGATATAATTACTATAAAGATGATAGGGGGCTGTATACCAACTAAACAGGGACGGAAGGGAATTTACTTCAAACAGGGACCTAGATACTAATATCCCATTATTGCAATGCCTATAATATGGCGGTGTGTGCATGAGTGAAATTCATTAGACATTGCCTTCTTGAGATTACACCTAACCTTAACTTAATTGTTAAATCAGTGATAGGCTATATGGCTGGGAAATAATTACTATAAAGATGATAGGGGGCTGAATACCAACTAAACAGGGATGGAAGGGAATTTACCTAAAGCATGCACTTAAACTTAGAATAGAGGTCATGGTAAGAAACCATTGTCAATGTAGTTCAAATGACAACCGCAGTAGCACCTAACTTATTAAGTACATGTGTACTCAAGATGCTAAAGATAACATGTAACAGAATATTTTAAACAACATGAATGACACACTAATAGTTATACATATACCATCACTGCAAGTTTGGAATAGAACCCAAAAACATAATCAACTAGTTCAGAGGGAGTCATTCATCAATAAATTCCATACAAAAAACAAAGGGCTTGCCGATTGAGCAGGAGCAGAGGAGGGGAAAGGAATTTACTTAAAACAGGGAAACAATATGAAAAATACCTAGATACTAATATCCCATTATTGCAATGCCTATAATGGCGGTGTGTGCACGAGTGAAATTCATTTAGACATTGCCTTCATAAGATAACACCTAATCTAACTTAATGATAAATCAGTGATAGGCTATGGCTGGGAAATAATTACTACAAAGATGATAGGGGGCTGAATACCAACTAAACAGGAAGGGAGGGGAATTTACTTAACATTGCATTAATAAGATTACACCTAACCTTAACTAAGTTTATAAATCAGTGATAGGCTATGGCTGGGTAATAATTACTATAAAGCTGATAGGGGGCTGAATACCAACTAAACAGAGAGGGAGGGGAATTTTCTTAAAAAATGGAAAAAATATGAAAACCTAGATACTAATATCCCATTATTGCAATGCCTATAATGTCGGTGTGTGCATGAGTGAAAATCATCTAGACATTGCCTTCATAAGATTACACCTAACCTAAACTTAATGATAAATCAGTGATAGGCTATGGCTGGGAAATAATTACTATAAAGATGATAGGGGGCTGAATACCAACTTAACAGGGAAGGAAGAGAATTTACTTCAAAAAGGGACCTAGATACAATATCCCATTATTGCAATGCCTATAATGGCGGTGTGTGCATGAGTGAAATTCATTTAGACATTGCCATGAGATTACACCTAACCTTTACTTAATTAATAAATCAGTGATAGGCTATTGTTAGGAAATAATTACTATAAAGTTGATAGTGGGGCTGAGTACCGACTAAACAGGGAGGTAGGGGAATTTACTTAAATCAGGAAATGAATATGAAAACCTAGATACTAATATCCCATTATTGCAATGCCTATAATGGCGGTGTGTGCATGAGTGATTCATTTAGACATTGCATTCATAAGATTACACCTAACCTTTACTTAATTGATAAAACAGTGATAGGCTATGGCTGAGAAATAATTACTTTAAAGATGATAGGGGCTGAATACCAACTAAACGGGGAGGGAAGGGAAGGGAATTTACTTAAAACAGGGAATAAATATTATGAAAAAACAGATACTTTTATCCAATTTTTGCAATGCCTATAATAGCGGTGTGTGCATGAGTGAAAATCATCTAGACATTGCCTTCATAAGATTACACCTAGTCTTAACTTAATTGATAAATCAGTGATAGGCTATGGCTGGGAAATAATTACTACAAAGATGATAGGGGGCTGAATACCAACTAAACAGGGACAGAAGGGAATTTACTTCAAACAGGGACCTAGATACTAATATCCCATTAT